GAAAATAATGCGTGAAATGATGAAAGCTTGACTAGGTATACTTGAATGTAACATTTGAGGTAAAGAAGGCTTGGCTAAGTAAACTTGAATATAAGGTGTGAGGTGATGAAAGCTTGGTAAGTTATACTTATAGGGCACACGCAACGATCTTAAAGTAAAAGAGAAATAAAATAATTAGCAGAAACAAGAAGAAAAAATATAACAACTTGAAAAATAATGTAAAATCTCACAGTGAAGAATGAATGAGCATTGAGTTGGTAGAGCAATACACTTTCAACATAGTCCTGGTGTTTCTTGAATGTCTGAGAGAAAATCATTTTAATTGTGACAATGTTTATTGACTTACTAAGAAGTCGCACGTGTTTTTATATAGATAAAAGCCAAGTTTGTACGGTACAGTGTTGATAAATTGTTATTAGAATCCTAACAGTTTGTAACTTGTATGGTACTGTGTTGTTAAATTGTTATGAGAATCCTGATAGTGTATAGTTTGTAAGGTACCGTGTTGATAATCTGTTATTAGAATCCTAACAGTTTGTAGCTTGTATGGTACTGTGTTGATAAACTATTATTAGAATCCTAACAGTGTATGGATTGTAAGGTACAGTGTTGATAAGTTGTTATTAGAATCCTGATAGTGTATAGTTTGTAAGGTACCGTGTTGATAATCTGTTATTAGAATCCTAACAGTTTGTAACTTGTATGGTACTGTGTTGATAAACTATTATTAGAATCCTAACAGTGTATGGATTGTAAAGTACTGTGTTGATAAATTGTTATGAGAATCCTGATAGTGTATAGTTTGTAAGGTACTGTGTTGATAAACTATTATCAGAATCCTAAGAGTGTATGGATTGTTGATATTTTTTTATTAGATTCCTAACAGTGAATAGATTGTAAGGTAGTGCTTTAAATTATCAGTATCCTAACAGCGTATAGATTGTACAGTGTTGATAAACTATTATTAGAATCCTAACAGTGTATGGATTGTAAAGTACTGTGTTGATAAATTGTTATGAGAATCCTGATAGTGTATAGTTTGTAAGGTACTGTGTTGATAAACTATTATCAGAATCCTAAGAGTGTATGGATTGTTGATATTTTTTTATTAGATTCCTAACAGCGAATAGATTGTAAGGTAGTGCTTTAAATTATCAGTATCCTAACAGTGTATAGATTGTACAGTGTTGATAAACTGTTACTAAAATTCTAAAAGTTTATAGTTTTTAAGGTAGGGTGTTGATAAACTGTTATTAGAATCCTGATAATGTACAGTTTGTTAGCTACTGTTTTGATAAACTGTTATTAAAATCCTGATATTGTATAGTTTGTAATGTACGTGTTCATAAACTGTTATTAGATTCCTAACAGTGTATAGTTTCTGAGGTACTGCATTGATACACTGTTATTAGAATCCTGATACTGTATAGTTTGTAAGGTACCATGTTGTTAAACTGTTATAACGGTGTATTATCAGTAATATGTCTGTTAGAATTACATAACACAATTCAATGCAACTGATTATCTGTATGAGCCAAATTCAAAGGTTTATTTAATTAACAACACTATAAAATACATTCTCATTTTAACTTATGGTATAGTTTTTTAGAATAAACTTCTCATACCCACATACACCATTCTAGTGATTTTTCTTGTTATGCAATAAACTTCTCCTGCCTACTTGCATGTCACCTTACCAGTGGCTAGTGATAAGTCTGAAGACTTCTAACACTAAAAACTGTGTTTGATACCCCTGATGGGCACAACACAAATGGCTCGTTGTATATTTTATCGTGTAATAACAAAACAAATGATTACTTGTGTCACTGGATGGAATTACATGTTGTCTTAAAACAATGTTTACCAAACTAAAGTTACAGAAAAACTGTTTGAGTTGGGCTACATGTTGAAAACCGCATGGTTGTATTTTTTAGTTATTTAATTATTAAAACAGGAAAGATATTTTTTTAGTATTTATAAGTAGAAATGTAAGAAAAGTATACTTAATTAGCTGAAGTGATAACAAAATTGATATTTAGTTTCATTATCAGTAGAATATATGTTTTTGTTTTTTTCTCATTTTGCTACTACTCAAGAGTAATCTGCATTAACCGTCCCTGATTTCGAAGAGATATACTAGGAGGAATTATTTATTATAAATTATTTACAGTGATTCAAGTAAGTAAGAATTCACAAAATATAACTAAAATTTTATTATATGTCCTAAAATTTCTGTTAATTTTAATACGTGATTATAGGGCAATCTATCCAATCAGATGAGAACTATATTTTTATAATAAAGCATAAGAAACATTCTTGTATTCGTTCATTAAAACATGTTTATGTTTCTATATTATAGCTGGGTTTCCAAGTTGAACATTGATTTCATAAATCATTCATCAATATAAATGTGGGAACATTAATCACAAAACAAAAGAAACTATAATAAAAAAACAAATGTAGACTTAACGCTTTGCAAAGTCAGAGTCGAGTTACAAACTAAAGGTAACTATGACTAGCTTGAAGTTTCAACTTATGCAGTCGTAAGTTCATGTAACGAACCAAGATGCTATCACTAGGTCGAAGTTTCCACTTGCTGGAGTCACAAATTCAAATTATGAACCAAGGTAACTATGGTTAGCTCAATGTTTCTAGTTGCTAGTCACAAAGTCAAGTTACAAACCAAGGTCACTATGGCTATGTCAAGGTTTTCAGTTGCTGAAGTCACAAAGTCAAGTTATAAACCAAGGTAACTATGGCTATGTCAAGGTTTCCAGTTGCTGAAGTTACAAAGTCAAGTTAGAAACCAAGGTAACTATGGCTAGCTCAAGGTTTCCAGTTGCTAGAGTCACAAAGTCAAGTCACAAACCAAGGTAATTATGGCTATGTGAAGGTTTCCAGTTGCTGAAGTTAAAAATCACATTAACTATGGTTAAGTCAAGGTTTCCAGTTGCTGAAGTTACAAATCGCAGTAACTATGGCTAAGTCAAAGTTGCCAGTTGTTGAAGTCACAAAGTCAAGTTACAAACCAAGTTAACTATGGCTAAGTCAAGGTTTCAAGTTATTGAAGTCACAAAGTCAAGTTAGGAACCAAGGTAACAATTGCTAGGTCATGTTACCAGAGCCTTAAAGTTAAGTTGCAAACAAAGGCAACTATGGATAGGTCAAAGTTTCTCATTGCTAAGTAAAAAAATGGATATCTTATCTTTTACACCAATTGAGACAATACAAAACTTCCTATTTTTCATTCGAACGGAAAGAACACTGACCATCTTAACTTTGCTTTTAATGTGTCACACTGACTGAAACCATACAGCTTCTTAGATTTCACATTAATTGAGATGACAATGATCTTATTTTCTTTTACACCAAGATAACATCTAGCTTCTTAACTTTTACACTAAGATTACACCTACATTCTTAACCTTTACATCACACTGAGATGACACTGAGCATTTTAACTTTTACACCAAGATAACATCTAGTTTGTTAACTTTCACAATGAGATGACACTGAGCATTTTAACTTTCACACTAAATGAGATGACACTGATCTTCTTAACTTTCACACCAACTGGGATGACACAGAGCTTCTTAACGTTTGTATCAACTGAAAGAATACTGATTTTCTTAACTTTCACACCAAGATGGTACAGAACTTCTCAACTTTCACACCAACTGTGATGAAACTGAACTTTTTTTAACTTTCACAACAACATTTAATTTTCAAACTGAAACAAATGAGATTTTAACTTTCACTGTAAATAACTTAATTTAGTATGATAAATACCCCTTATTTTTATGAGCTGTCACCTACTGACAAGGAGAAGAATTAACTGTTTACTTTAAAGTTCACTATAGTTTATTTCTAGAGTGTTATTAACAAGATACAGGAGGTCCTTCACATGCAAAAAAAACACCTAAGAATAATAAAGGTGTAATATGTCTATTGCTGTACAACTATTTACAGTACTTTACAATCTTGAATATATATAAACTAAGTAGCTTGTGTTCATAAAACTTCTAGATCAACATGTCGAACTTCAGGATGACGTTTCTGAAAAAAAACACAACAACAACAACATATTTTAGATATAAATGACTTCCAATACTTCCATACATTTTATATTCTTAACAGTAACACTACAAAATAAATGTAGTAGAACATACAGCATAGTATTGTTACGACAGCGGAAGTCATGCGACCCTGGGAGCATGCGTGCTGGAGTTTCTAGAAAGATTATGAATTATCAAGCCAATGAGACAGAGACCAGTACGAAAGAAGAAATGTCCTGTAAAATTAAGAGACTTTGTTGTATTTTAATTTTGTGTTTGAAATTCCGTACATTTAATTAAGTTATTGTTAATTATCTATTGGTTAAATGTAAAAGGCTATTGTTAGGGACGAACAATACCAAGGAAGGGGCAGTGTTACGACATCGAAAGTTACGCGATGCTGGGAGCATGCACGCTGGAGTTTCTAGAAGGATCATGAATTATCGAGGAACTCAGCAAATGTCCTAGTGTTTGCCAGGCACCCTCTCTTTTTGGAATATAAGCCTGGCGAGAAAAACCAGCTCAAGAGAAAAGATATAGGCAGAAGATATGCAGATAGATTGAAGATAGAGATAACTGAGTCAAGTAAAATGTGTGAATCACTGTGATTTACAGCGTGTGTTATAAAGGTTGTTAAGTTTAATGTGGCTGTGGAAATTCTGTGTTTTACAAATCGAGAACAAATAAACTAGTTTTAATTAAGAAAGAACTTCTATCGCTGAAGTTCCTCGGAAAGAATTTATACCACATATTAACAAACGAGCAGATACGCAACAGTATTTCTACCCACTCTAAACTCACACACACACTCATGATACCTCTCTCTAAACTATAAAAGGCATGGATACCTTATCTCTCTACCTTGATAATAATAGCAAAACCTTCTTTATTGAATAATACTTCATGATTTACAACTTTACATTCACTGTTTTCTCCATTCCATCACTGCATGTTTTGTCTGTTGTATTTAGTATCCTTATTAAACAAAACACTGTAAGGTACAACTTTACCTTCATGGTAGTCTCTATTCTATCAACATGGGCTCTAAGTAGATCAACAATATTTTCTCCATTCTATCACTGCATGTTTTGTCTGTTGTATTTAGTATCCTTATTAAATAAAACACTGTAAGGTACAACTTTACCTTCATGGTAGTCTCTATTCTATCAACATGGGCTCCAAGAAGATCAACAATATTTTCTCCATGTTTCAACATAAAGGCTTCCATTTCCTCAAATGTCTTGATGTTTTGCACTTCCTTTAGTTTGTAAAATATATTTTAATTAATAAATTCGGATTTCCTAAAGTCTAACAACTCCAAAATTAGTTCCAAATAAAAGATATGCCAATTGGCATTATAATTCAATACAGATTATAATCTTGTACAATATAATAACAAATATTTTAGAACAGTGTCATACTTCCAAATACTGAATATTAATTATCACCAACATTTAACATCTTAGTAATGAAAATACTATTTAGATGAGTATATCAGCTATAAGAAATAAACTACTATGGAAGTGTTAGCTATGGAATACTGACTACTATTCAAGTGTTAGTTGAGGAATACTGACATCTATTCAAGTGCTACTTGAGGAATACTGACTACCATCGAAGTCTTAGTTGAGGAATACTGACTACCATTGAAGTCTTAGTTGAGGAATACTAACTACTGTCTACTATACTACATTATGAAATAGTTAGTAAGACCAAGGTACAAAATTACGAATAGTTAGTAAAACCAAGGTAAAACATTACGAAGTAGTTAGTAAGACCAAGGTACTACATTATTAATTAATTAGTAAAACCAAGGTACAACATTACGCAGTAGTTACTAAGACCAAGGTAAAACATTATGAAGTAGTTAGTAAAACAGGATACTACATTATGAAGTAGTTAGTAAAACCAAGATACTACATTATGAAGTAGTTTGTAATACTAAAATACTACATTATGAAGTAGTTAGTAAGACCAAGATACTACATTATGAAGTAGTTAGTAAAACCAAGATACTACATTAAGAAGTAGTTGGTAAGACCAAGGTACAACATTATGAAGTAGTTAGTAAAACCAAGATACTACATTCTGAAGTACTTAGTAAGACCAAAATACTACATTATGAAGTAGTTAGTAAAACCAAGATACTACATTATGAAGTAGTTAGTAAAACCAAGATACAACATTATGAAGTAGTTTGAAAGACTAAAATACTACATTATGAAGTAGTTAGTAAGACCAAGATACTACATTATGAAGTAGTTAGTAAAACCAAGATACTACATTAAGAAGTAGTTGGTAAGACCAAGGTACAACATTATGAAGTAGTTAGTAAGACCAAGGTACTACATTATGAAGTAGTTTGTAAGACTAAAATACTACATTATGAAGTAGTTAGTAAGACCAAGATACTACATTATGAAGTAGTTAGTAAAACCAAGATACTACATTAAGAAGTAGTTGGTAAGACCAAGGTACAACATTATGAAGTAGTTAGTAAAACCAAGATACTACATTCTGAAGTACTTAGTAAGACCAAGATACTACATTATGAAGTAGTTTGTAAGACCAAGACACAAAATTATGAAGTAGTTAATAAGACCAAGATACTACATTATGAAGTAGTTAGTGAAACAGGATACTACATTATGAAGTAGTTAGTGAAACAGGATACTACATTATGAAGTATTTAGTAAGACCAAGATACTACATTATGAAGTAGTTAGTAAGACCAAGATACTACATTATGAAGTAGTTAGTAAAACCAAGGTACAACATTATGAAGTAGTTTGTAAGACTAAGATACTACATTATGAAGTAGTTAGTAAAACCAAGATACTACATTAAGAAGTAGTTAGTAAGACCAAGATACTACATTATGAAGTAGTTAGTAAAACAGGATATTACATTATGAAGTATTTAGTAAGACCAAGATACTACATTATGAAGTAGTTTGTAAGACCAAGATACTACATTATGAAGTAGTTAGTAAGAACAAGATACGGTATTATGAAGTATTTAGTAAGACCAAGATATTACATTATGAAGTAGTTTGTAAGACCAAGATACTACATTATGAAGTATTTAGTAAGACCAAGATACTACATTATGAAGTTGTTAGTAAAACATGATACTACATTATGAAGTATTTAGTAAGACCAAGATACTACATTATGAAGACCAAGATACAATATTATGAAGTAGTTTGTAAGACCAACATACTACATTATGAAGTAGTTGGTAAGACCAAGGTAGAACATTATGAAGTAGTTAATAAGACCAAGATACTACATTATGAAGTAGATAGTAATACCAAGGTACAACATAATGAAGTAGTTAGTAAGACCAAGATACTACATTGTGAAGTAGTTAGTAAGACCAAGGAACTACATTATGAAGTAGTTAGTAAGACCAAGGTACAACATTAGGAAGTAGTTAGTAAGACCAAGGTACAAATTATGAAATAGTTAGTAAGACCACAGTACTACATTATGAGGTAGTTAGTAAGACCAAGGTACTACATTATGAAGTAGTTAATAAGACCAAGGTACAACATTATGAAGTAGTTAGTAAGACCAAGATACAACAGTATGAAGTAGTTAGTAAAACCAAGATACTACATTGTGAAGTACAGTATTCTCTCGCTATTCGTGGGGGTTACGTTCTTTACCCCCCGCGAATAGCGAAAAACCGCGAATATTGGATGCAGTTTTAAAACGTCTATGTATGAGATTATATACGGTACTAAATGCCTCCCAAACAATTTCTAAAGACACTCTTACTCATTAATACACATTAGTGAAATACATAACTGCATGCAATATTACTAAATTAAAATGTGTTTACATTATCATTACTACGTTTCTTTTTGATTAAAATATTGTTGCAGTACAAAGTACAGGAGGACAGTAACACTGCATAGCATAGTTACCCATACTGTATTACTGAAGTACAGGAAGACAGTAA